ATGGTTTTTATTTTTCTTTAACAAAAAAGAAACRTCAGTAGACTTATTCTAAGAAAACTATTTAAAAAAAACCAAAGATATAAAAAAATGACACATAACAAATATATAAAAATACTTGTCTTTTAGGAAAAGGGTACTTTTTTGAAAAATCTACTAGTAGAAATCATATTAATTAGAGTAATTTTATTAAGAAATATTACGCATGAACTTAAAGGAAAAATTTAACTGTTAAAATTATCTGGAAATGCCTTATACATAAATACATATTTTTCCCCAAAATACTTTTGGAGTGATATTAAGTGAAATAAATATTTTGAAATTCAATATTCATTCTGATTATCACTAAGTAAAAATTATTTACATAAATGAACAAAGATTAAAAGAAAAGAAAATAATTGCTTTTATATGCTAGAAGTTCAATAAAATTTCTTTGAAGCTTTAAAACCTTTGCAATATTTATCTCTGCATGAAAGTTTAATTATCATTATATAGTAAGGTTATACCTTTTACATCTTCATTTTCATAGTAAAATGCAATATTCTTCAACAAAGGCTCATCACTTAAGTCGGAAAGGTGAACTAAATTCAGATTCCAAGATTCAAAAATGTTTATATTACTTAGGATGGAATATTCATACCACCTTTTCTGAAAATGAAAATAAAACCAATTTATTTACAATTTTAATTTTAGCAATAAAGTATGGAATGACTTTATACACTTCTGTAATTCAACTATAAGGCCCGTGGGCAGGACTGTTTCAATTCAGGCTGAGTGCTGATGAACGCTTCATTACTTAAAAGATTAAAGCAAAAATTAAATTCAAAACTTCCTTCCAAGTGAATTCAGTACAGTTCTTTATTCCAAATCAAGGAAATCTGTATTCAATTTTCAATATTTTTTCCTTACTCTGTGATATGTAGATATAGTCTCAAAGCTATAGAAATACTTCTGCTTTCAAATATGCCTCTGTTCTTACTTAGGTTTTAATGTTTTCCAATTTTACTTTCAGGTCMAAAGACCATTTAAAAAGCTTTTGATTATTCAGGGATCTATAATATGCTGAATCTTTCAACTCAAAGATTCCCAGGCATCTTGTGCACCCACCAGGTTTAGGCTGGGAGGCTATATTCCCAAAGGRCACAGGCAGAGTGTCTTCACTGATCACACTGAGTTCCTGGTAGAGTTGACCCAAATCAGAACCTAGTAAAGCTTTCAGTGAATGACAATTAGCAGTCCATTTTCAGATAAACTGAAAGAGGAGACTGAAGCTTCTCTGCCCCCATACCCCTTAAAAATAAAACATAAATGTGTTGCAAATGGAGACAATTCAGGAACAATTAATTTATCTGTATTGATGTGGAATTTTAAC